CCTTCATCTCTTTTAATTAACTTGAATACATATGAAATACTTTAAAATAAGTCACTATCATTTCATACATTTTCAAAGTGTTCCATGAAGCCTTAAAAAAAAAAAAAAAAAAAAAAAAAAAAACTATTAAAAAATATTAAAGAAACATGGATATTTTTATTTAAAAGAAAAATATAAAATTTTTAATGATTATGTAATTATTTCCTTGTAGATGGTTACAACATTTTATTTTATAAATGCTCATAATATTTTTATTTTACTATAATTCTTATAATATACACATTTATTTTTTTTTTTAATATTTTCTATAAAAGTTTTTGTGTATGACATTTAAAATTATAATAACATTTTTAAATTTAATAAAAGGAAGATAAAAATAAATAATTTTTTTAAAAAAGAGAAAAATCAAAAATTTTCATAATAATTATATTTTTATATAAGTAATAATAGCAAAAATAGCATATTCAACACATTACGCATATTATATTTAAAAAAAAAAAAAAAAAAAAGGAAATTGAATAAATTGACTATATTTTGAGATTAAATCAATAATCTTTTTATCATTTAATAAATTAGTTGCATCTTCTTTTAGATGTAAAGAAATTCTAGTACCTCTTTTTAATGTAGATCCACGTGGATCTTTGTATATGGAAAATTTAGCATCTGCTGTTGATTCCCATATATATTGATCATCATTATTATTTTTTGTGTAAACTATGACTTTATCTGCAACTAAAAAAGCAGAATAAAATCCAACACCAAATTGACCAATTAAACTCATATCACCACCACTTTTAGATATAGCTTCTAAAAAATTAGAAGTTCCCGATTTTGCTATAGTACCTAAATTGTTAATTAAATCATCTTTTGTCATACCAATACCTGTATCTGTAATAGATAATATATTTTTTTCAGGATTCGTTGATATTCTTATTTCTAATTTTTTTTCTTCTCCTAATACACTTTCATCGGATAATGATAAAAATCTTATTTTTTCCAAAGCATCAGCTGCATTTGATATTAATTCTCTTAAAAACACTTCTTTATGTGTATATAATGAATTGACAATTATATCCATTAATCTCGTTACTTCTGTTTGATATTCGTGATTCTCAATACTATCTAATGGCTTTTCACTTTCTTCTATTTCTGGTATATTATCTTGAACTTTTTTCCTTTCTTTTTTATTTACATTTGTTTCTCCATCATCTTGTTTGGGATGTTCACCAGAAGATACATCACCAAATTCTTCAGCAGTATCTTTTTCTTCTTCACTGTTAGATTCCTCTTTTGCATTATCATCTGTATTATTATTTTCACAGAAAATTTTGGTATTTTCTAAAATTAAATTTAGAAGGAAAAGAAGAAACATATAAGTATATAGCTTATTTAACCTCATTTTTCTCTAAATATTTTTAAAGAACCAAATAAAAATTTTTATATATTCAGAATATTAAAATATATAACTCACAAAAAATATGTATCTTCGAATTTAAGTGTATATATATATTTAAAGAAGCAAATATTTTACATAAAATATTTTCATTAATGAAGCAAATATATATATATATATTTTTTTTTATATATGTATGCACAACTTTGTCTGAACTCCTTGTAAAGGAAATTAACAGTAAAATTTTTAAGAATATGAGAAATACATATATATATATATGTTTATATATTTAATTGTTTATATTTTGTTATTTTTGTTATTCATATATTTTATCTTTGAAAAAAAAAAAACTAAAAATAAAAATAAAAAAAAAAAAAGGAATACAATAAAAAAAAAAAAAACGAAAGAAAATATATACATTAAAAAAAAAAAAAATAAAATAAAACACAATAAAAAATAAAAAAATACAATAAAAAAAAAAAAAAAAGATATATGTAACAAAAATAAAACAATATAAAATATAAGTGAAAAACTACATGTAAATTTTATTATAATAAAATAAAAAAATGCATAACAAAATTCTTGATTAAAAAATAGAATTGTTTTTCAACTTCTCAAAAAAAAATATTACTTCTATTTGTTTTATTTTTTTTTTTTTTTTTAATATGTATTATTTTTTTCTATTTATTTAATAACTTAATTTTTAAGATGTATTATCTTTTTTTTAGTTCACATTTAGTATTTTTTATTTTTTATTTTTTTATTTTTATTTTATTTTATTTTTTTTTTTTTTTTTTGCAAAAATAAAAAGTACGAGAAATTTTCAATTTTAATTATTATGTTAATTTTAAATTTAATTTTCATTCATTTTTTTTTTTTTTAATATATGAAAATACATCTCATTAAAATACGAAATTTTTTTTGTAGTAGGACTATACCACATTTTAGCTAGTGCAAAGTTAACATAAGTGAAAATAATGTTATGATGATTTTTTTAGGATATTTATAAAAAATACCGAGAACTTAAATGCAATAAGATTCGTGTAAAAAAAAGGAAATGTAAAACCTATTTTCTTATATTACGAAAAGAAAAAAATAAAATTAAATGACTATTCTTCCTATATGATTTATATGAACTTTATTATTAATAAAATAACCTTTTAAATATATAATTCTTTTTAAATATAAAAATCTACACATTAGTGAACTTTATTAAAATTGTAGAATTTCCTATATGAAAAAAAGATAAAGTATTATAGAAAGAAAAAAATTCTAAATTAGGAAAATAGTTCTAAAAAAAGAATTAAAAAAATTTTTGTGTGATTTCAGTTTCCACCACAAAATGTTCCATTAAATTGTTATTTTATTTTATTTCTTTTTAATAAAAATTGAAAGTTTCTTTTTTAAATACTAAGAAAATTATTTAAAATAATAAGATTTATAAAATTTAAAAATTATGTAATTTTTTTTCGAATGAATTTTATTCTTCATTATTAATATAATATTTCCATTATTTAGATAATTCTTTTTCCCATATGACAAATTATTCAAAAGGAATTAAAAAGTAAAAAGAAAAGTGAATAATAACAAAAATGCTCTTTGTTATTTTTATTACAATTTTTCATTTTTCTTAAAATATATTATTTACACGAATTTTTAACATTATTAAATTTGCTTTGTTTTTCTTTATAAGTAAAATTATATCATTATATCACATGTTTTATTAATTTTTTTTTTAATATATTTATGTTTCTACATCGTTATTACGTTATAAAAAAATAGTTTTAAATATAATAATATATTGAAATACTTTTTTTAAATGCAATTAGAAAGGAAAAGTTTAAATTTTATAAGAAGATTTTATTTTATAAAACTAGGAAATAACAACAAGAAAATATGATTTTCATTCATAATTTAATTATTTATAAGATGTAGTTTTTTATATATCGTCTTAATTTTTTTTTTTTTTTTTTTCAGTTTTTACTATTATTATGATTTACTTTGCATAAATTTTTATATTTTCTTTTTCTATATTACAATTTTATTAAAAAAAAAAAAATAATAAAATAAAATAAAATGATGTTATACTATAGGATGATAACAACTGATATATTAGAATAAAGTTTTGCATAAAGAGATAATGTAGAAAAAGAATTATATATTAGGTGCTATCTTAAAAATTTAGCTATAAAAAAGAAAAAAAAAATTAAAATAATTTTACTAAATCCTAAAAATAGTATGAATTAACTTTTTAATAGAAATAAAATTTTACAATTTTAATAAAAGGGTAAAATGAGAAGTGTATAATAACCCTATAACGTAACTCCATAAATTTCTTATATGTATATTTATGTAATTTATTATGCATTTCTATAAATAAAAAAATAAGATGTATGGTTAAACTGAAATGCTTACCTTTTTTCTATTCTTTTAAAAAGAAAATGTATTGTATTATTATACAATGTTGTGTTTTATTTTATTTTTTTTTTTAAATGAATACAATTTTTTTATTATTATTATTAGTTATTTTCTAAAATATAGTTCTATATACTTTTTGGTTTTTAAATATAATTAGAAAAATAAATTTTACTTTTTACCCTTTCTATAATTTATCTTTACTAGTTTTAAGATTTTATTGTATATATGTAACATATATATTTCTGAGAATTTTCTATTAGTATTTAATTTCATTATTCTTTTTCTTCGTAATATTAAAAAATATATTAATTTATTTTGTTTTCTAAATGATAAACTTAAAAAGAAAAAAAAAAAAAAAAACTTTCTAAATTAATTTTTAGAAAAATACAATATATACTATGACTCTTATACAATAAAGAAGAAAAACCTATAAGTAATATATGAATACAAAAATATAGGACAGACAAAAAACTAATAACTTTTCTTTTTTTTTGAAGTAAAATTTAAAACAAACGAATTTATTTTTATTAGATACTTATTATTTTATTATATTTTCCAACTTTTTTCCATTATTTAATTTCTTAATCTTTTTTTTTTTTTTTTTTTAATATTTTTTAAACCTATGTTCATTTTTTCTTTTCTTATAATTTTTTATAATTTTATGAATTATGTATTGAATAAATATATAGAACATTTGAATCAAAAATTAAATATTGTATTTAATTGTAATTTTCCTTAGAATCGTTAAATATATTCTTAATTTTATTGTTTTTTTAATTTTTATATTATCATAGCATCCTTTATTAATTACAACAAGATTCTCAATTTGGGAATTCTTTAAAATTAAAAATACATTTGAGAAAAATGAATCATAAAAACTAAAAGAAAAAAGAAAAAAGAAATAAAAACTAAAATTAGGAAAATCAGATGTTTATTAACACACTTTTTTTATGATATATATATATATATTTTTTTTTTTATTGTATATATTTATTTGCTTATATAATTGTTAAAAAAGGAAATAAAAAGAAAATGTAAAATTTTTTCTAAAAACTCATGTGTGTAATTTAATATTTATATATCTATTTTCCCTTTTTTATTTCTTATATGATTTATATTTTATTCAGTTTATTTTTTAGTATGAGTTATATGCATTAATTTATCAATGTGCATATAAAAAGATTAAAATTATATTAATGGAAAAATTTTTTGAAAAAATAAAGATGTGTTTCTATGGAAAAACGTGTATTTTAAAAAGCATTATTTAAATAATGTTGTAAGTTAATTTTAATAATAAATATTTTTAATATTTTTTATATAAATATGTAATAAAGTAATAGACTCTTTTTTTTTTTTTATCAACTGAATACTATAAATATAAAATACTTTTATTATGCATTCTTTTATTATATAATACTATTACAATTAACTGTAAATATATATAAATATATATATATGAATATTTTTACGATGTTCCACTTTTTGTAGTATATTTCTTTTTTTCTTTTTTTTTTTTATCAATTTTCTATCATGTAGTTTATTTTTTGTGTTTTTTTTAAATATAGAAGAAAATATGACATATATACACAGTTTTCTTAAAGTTTCTAATGTATAATTTTTTTTTAATAATTAATAATTTATCATTATTAATATACAGTAGACATTATTCGTTTCTTTTTATTTCTACTTTTTTATTATTTATTTTTTTTTTTTTTTTTCTCTTAAACATTTTATGTATAAATTTTTTTTTTTTTAATATTAGTAATAATGTATTATTCTATATAATTTGAATATTAAAGCAACTATTCATTTTTTTAATTGAAATATACTTAACCCAAATGTATAAATTTATATGTGTATTTGTGTAACTATTTATATATTTATATGTATCTCTATTTATTTTTCTTTTAAATATTATTATATTTTATTTATTTTAATATAAAGTTATTTAGTATATAGGATAATCATTTTTTTTTTTTTTTTTTTTTCATAAAACTCTCTATATTTTTTTTAATTTTATTTCTTTTTTCTAATATAAAAAATTATTTTATATTATTTTTTTTTTTTGTAATATCATCTTGCTTTTATTAAAAATTTTAATAAAATTATAAATTATAATTAATTATATATATATGTAATAATTATATTTAGACTTATATAATTTTTAACTATATATATATATATTTGCTTATATATTTCATTTTTTTAAATATTTTATAAAATAGTTACTTTATATTTATTTCTATAAAGAAAAAAAAAAAAAAAATGTAACGCAAATATAAAATAGTAATGATGAACTTTACTATTTAAATTAGAAAAGAAAGAAAAAATTTTGTATGTTATCGTCTTAGCATTTTTTTTTAGAATATTAAAAAAAAAGTCTTTTTCTTTAAATTTTTTTTTCTTTTAATTGTTTTTTTTTTAATTATTATTATAATGAATGAACCAAAATATTTTTAGGTATTTCATTGCTATAAAGTAGCAAATGAAGTGAATATTTTTATTAATAGAAAAAAGAACGAAAAAAAAAAAAAAAAAAAAAAAAAAAAAAAAAAAAAAAAAAAAAAAAAAAAAAAATTGAATGCATAAGTTATTCTATAAGTAATAGTAAAGAAAAAAGATGGAAGTTAAAAAAATAGGCTTTTATCTAAACTTTTGTTTTATTAAAACTTCAAAGAAATTTTTATATTCATAAAAATTCTTATATATATATATATTTATGTGTGTTTATATTTTATTTTAATAGTGTGTTAAAAAAAAAAAAAAAAAAAGAAAAGAAAAAATGAATAGTCATTTTAATTGTAATAACATTAATATAAATTATTCATTCTTTATAAAAAATGAAAATTCTTCAAATAATAAAAATGATATTGTTGAAAAATCAGAAGTTAAATTATTTGAAAGTGGCACTTATAATAATCAAAGTATTAAAAATAATTATGTAAATAAAAATGATAAAAATGTATATTTTCATAATATTTGTAACATTTTAAGTAGTAGCAATAATAGTAATAATAGTAATGGAAATTCGTGCAATGAGATTTATTATAATTTTATTAATAATAAAAAAAAAGACAATTTAATTAACAGTGTAGCTGGTAAAAATAAAAGTGATTGTGAAAATGTAAATTTAGAAAATTTTATAAATAATAAAAATATTAATTTAAAAGAAGAAAAAAATTCATTAGATTTTACTAAACATAATTTTGAGAAAAATGCATATATTGAAGATTTCTTAAATTATAAGGAAAAAATTAGTAATAGTTTAGATTATGATATTAATAATAATGTTGATAATAATAATAATAATATAATAAATAGTGATAATATGGAGCATAATAAGAAAAATATTTATAATAGCATCATTAAAAATAATTATAATATAAATAAAATAAATGTAACTCATGAAAATTTGTCTAATTATATATATGATATACAATTTCATAGAAAAAATGCAAAAAAATGCATGGAATATGATAGTAAAAATGTAAATCACAAAAATAATAAAACTATTACAAGATCAAATTACAATAATAATAATTTAAATAATTCAGACAACAATTCACCATTTAACAATGATATAAATAATGAAGATGTCAAATTAAACTCTTTGCGTTATCAAAAATATTATGATACAAACAGATTAAATACTTATTTAAAAGATGTTGACTATGAATACCATAATAAAAATGAAGAAGTATTATATAACAATTTGAATTGTAATGAAAAGAAAGGTGCTACAGTTTTAAATCATCTAAATAATACAAAAAATTCAACTATTAAATCAAACATTAAGCAAAATGATTTATTTAACAATAATATAATCAATAACAACATAATAAATAATAATATTATTAATAACAACATTATTAATAATAATATAATAAATAATAACATTATCAGTAATAATATAATAAATAATAACATTATTAATAATAGTTTTATTCAGAATATGAATAATGCTTTAAATAAAAACATGGTTAATACATTAATAAACAAATGTTTTTATAATGATAACAAAAATAATATAAATATGGAGAATGGAAAAATAGACACAATTATTAATATGAGGAATGAAAAAAATAATATTAATAACAATATACCTAATGACAATTATTTGAATGTAAGTAGTGCTATAAATTATGATAAAATTATAAATAATAAAATGATTAGTTATGAAATAAATAAAAAAGACGAAGAAAAATCATCACCAAAAGGAACTCTAAATTCAAATATTCCAAAAATTTCACTAAATAATGAAATTGAGTCTAATAAAAATATTTCTGATATCACAAACAATTTTAACTTTTTAAAGAATAACAAAAACTTTCTAGAAATAGAAAAAAATAATGAAAGCTCCTTTTTTTGTGTCAGTAATGATAATATGAATTTAAATTTGCAAGAAAAAGAGAATAAAAATATTAAAGATACAAGCAGATGTATATATAATGAATATGATATGAATTATAACAATTTTTTTAGTGATAAGTCGAAATCATATCCAATTTATTCCTTTTCGAATTTTGAAAAAAACCCTATTTTTGTAGAAGAGAATCATGAAAATAAAGAAATTACAAACGATATGAATATTTCAGATAATTTTCTTAAATCTAATGATTTGCTAAATTTAAATAATTTTGACTATATGCACAATCTTGAATATGTAAATAATGTAAGTAAAACAAGAGATGCTATTTTACCAAAAAAACATGATATATATTCTAGTAATTTTAGCTTTGATGAAATAAATATAGATAAAAATAATAAATTTAATATTGATATGAATGAAACCTATATTAGTACAAAAGTAAAGCAAAATTTTAATATTGTGAACATAGATAAAGATGAAAAATTCTATCATGATAAGCATCAAATACAGGAAAATAGTCAAATAGAAAATAATATAGATAACTTTTATATTAGCAATTGTAATAAAAAATTGAAAAAAAATTATGATAATTATATAAATAAAAGCATAAACAACTTTATTATTAGCCATCCATATAACATTATGAATAATAATAATAATAATAGCAGTATGAATAATAGTTTTAATGATGATAAAGATAATAATATAAATAATGATATTAATTATGAAAATAAAAATGACTCTGTCTTTAATAGAAATAATAACGATAGCAGTATTATAATTAATGATAACGATGATAAAAATAACAGTCATAATGATATTAATATAAATAATAACAATAATAGTAGTACTAATGCTTGTATCAGTAATAGTAGTGTTAAAGATGCTAATACAAATAATGATAATAATACTAGTTATACTCATGTTAATAATTATAATGGAGATATTAATAATAAATTTTTAAATTATAATAACAATAAAAATAATATTAATAGTAGTATGTCTAATGAATTTAATGGATGCAATGATTATAATTTAAATAATTTTGGTATACATCAAAATGCAACCATTTATTATAAAAATAATGAAACACAAACATTTTGTGAAAAGAAAAATAATATCTATAAATTCGATCAAGTGTTAAAAAGTGGAATAAATAAAAAAAGAAGAAATATAGATATGTTTAAATATTCAGGAAAATTAAACATTACGAAAAATTACGATAAAAAAATAGAAAATTTAAAAAAAACAAATCACCTAGATAAAGAAGATAATGAAAAAATCTCAATATTTGAAAAGATTGATGTAGAGGATGAAATATATGTTACAAATAATTATGTAATTCGTAAAAATAAAAAATGTAAAAAAAACGAAGAATTAAATAAATTTAATGAAATAACCAATCCAGATAAATTAAATATTGAAAACTTCCAAAAAAAATATAAAGTTTATTCCATTGATAAACTATATAAAAATAATTGTAAGAAAAATAAAACATGTGAATTATATTATTGGAATAATATAATTTATAATTCTGAAGAAAAAAAAGATATGTCTTACAAAAAATTATCTTCTTTAAAAAAAGAAGTATCATTAACAGATAATAATAAATTTATGAATTTTAACAACCTAAAATATATATCAGAAAAAAATACTACAATTAAATTGAATAAAATAAATAATAAAACTATAACATACCCTTTAAGCTCTAATGAGGCTGCCATCATATACAATAAAAACATCTTGAGAAAACAATACGATAATTCCTTTAATGAAACTGAAAAATATGATAAAAAATTGATTGATTATTGTGAAATTAATGAAAAAGAAATACAAAAAATTTTAATATATGATAAAAATAATGAAATTATGAATGATGAAACTAATAATGATATCAATAACAAAGTTTTACATGAAGATATTATTAAAGAGTATCATAATGAAAAGAATATAGATAAATTTATTAACGAAAATAGTGTACCTAATGATATAATTGATGAGAATTTTATCAGTGAAACTTTGTCAAATAATTATAAATTAAATAGTGAGTTAAAGATAGAAGAGAATAATAATATAAATGAATTTATTACAAATAAAAATAAAATAAATAATAAATATTTAAATAATAATAATTATGAAATATATATGAACAAAATAAACAAATTCAGATGTGGCACATTTCTTTATTATAAAAACAACTTTGGTGTTATAGATAGTGAACATAAAAAAGATAAAGTTATTTTTGATGATATTATTATTAGAAATAATAAAAATATAATTTGCAGTAATGATAATATAGATAATAAAATTATGATTTGCAATGATAATGAGATATTTAATAAAAATATAATATACGATGGTATTAGAAGTAACAGTAATACCATATACGAAGATAATAAATATGATAAAATAAAAGATTGTGGTACTAATTACAGTATTACTACTACTACTACTAATAATAATAATAATATTTATGACAATAATGAGGATAATATTAATAACACTGAAAACATTATTAGTAGTGATAATAATAATAATAGCAATCAAAATAATAATGATAATAATAATAATTCTACCACTTCTGGTAATAATAATAAGATAAGTAATAACAATAATAATAATTCTATCACTTCTGGTAATAATAAGATAAGTAATAATAGTAATAATAATTCTACCACTTCTGGTAATAATAAGATAAGTAATAATAGTAATAATAATTCTACCACTGCTGGTAATAATAATGAAGATGGCGAAAATAATAATAATAAAAATTTTCAGGACATAAATGAAATTAATTTTTTTAGTAAAACAAATTTATACAAGGATAGCTTTGGTTCACTTACAACTAGTTGCTCAACGCCTGATTCTTCATTAAATAATAACATGGATTTATTTAAAAATTATGATAAGAATTACAATAAAAAAAATAATCTTCAAAATGGTAAGGACGACTTAAATAATTATGAAATTAATAAATGTATTACTAATGATGAGACAGAATTAAATAACAGTGTAAATATAAATATGAATGAAAATTATACAAAGAGTAACATCCCATATAATATATACTCATGTAAATATGACCCAAATGACAATAAACAAGTGAAAAAAGATAAGAATTATGAATTAACCATTTTAAGTAATAAGGAAATATTTTATAAAAATTCTTTTATTTGCGATGAAAATTTACAGCAAAATAAAGAATATAAAAATTGTAATACTAAATTTAATTCTAAAATAAATCAATCAAGAAAAAAAAATATGAATTCTTGTGAATCTAACAGCATTAATTATGCAAATGAAAATTTTTTAAACAATAATTTTTTAAAGTTATGTAATAATGAAAGTAAAATGAATTGTAGTATAAATATAACAAACATAGAAAATTCAGGTAATGATTTAAACATGTTAAATGTAAAAAACATTAATGGAAATTTAGCAAATTATTCTAATATATCTAACTATGATATTAGCAAAAATGATGTGGTTAAACCTTTAGGAGATTTAAATACATTAAATGGTATGTCTTTTCATTCAAATGTTAGCTCTACTATTACTAATAATAATATTGAAAATAATGAAAAACATAAAGAAAATTTAATAGATAAAAAAAATAAGAAAAGTCAAAAGAAATATTATGATGAAAGTAAAATAAAAAAAGAGGAATTGTACGAAAGAGTAAAAAATTTGCCAAAAATTACAGGAGTAAGTTATGACAAAAAACAGAATTTATGGGTTTCTCATTGGAGATCTAATTGCAAAACAGTTCACAAATATTTTTCTGTAAAAAAATATGGTTTTGAAAAGGCAAGAATTCTAGCTATTAGTTGCAGAAAGCAGAATGTGAAATATATTACAACAGATAATGTTTTAAATTATACCTCTAATAAACGAAATTCTTTACTGAAGGATAGTTTAATTAATAATAATGAAAATATTTTTAATTATGAATATGAAAATAGTAACCCTATATGTGCATTAAATATGAAAAAAAAAGACGTACTAATAGAATCAAATAGAAAAAAAGGAAAGAAAAGAGAAAATTATAAAAAGAAGAATAGTAATTTAGGAAATATAGAAAGGGAAAATACTAAAAATAATGATGTTATTTCAAATGTGGAAAAAGATACATATGAAATAGAAAGTTATGAAAAAGGAATTTTAAAAAAAGAGAGAAATGTTGAAGACAGCAGTAAAAACAGTAATACAAAGAAATGCCTTAAAAAAATCATTAACAAGGAAAAGGAAGAACATAATCACATAAAAATTGATAAAGATTGTTGTCAAAGGAATAATGAAGAATATAATCAAAATAAAATTATTGAAAAAAAAATAGAAAGTAAAATTTCGGAAGAGAAAAAAGTAAATGAAACAGAAGGCTTTTTGGAAAAAAATCATCTAATAAATAATAATTTATTCAATGAATTAATGAACAATCAATTATATAATAAACTAATAAATAATAATTTAAGTGATAGTAAAGCAAAAAATAATAAAATGTGTTGTAATTTAATTAATAATAATTTATATAATAAAGTTATAAATAATCAATTAAGTATTCATGGAGAAAAAGATAATCAGCTAATAAATAAACATTCTACATATTACTGCAATGAAAAATTAAAAAACATTAACTTTGTAAAAAATGAATATTCTAATAATGAATATATGAACAATGAATTTACTAATAACCAAGGAGTATATAATTTATATTTAAATAATATTCCTTTTAGAAATCAAATAATAGACAACAATAATAGCAAACTAACGAATAACAACCAATATACAGTTAATAATAAATTTGCAAATAACAATAAATTTTCAGATAATAATAAACTTTCTGATAAAAATGAATTTTCAGATAATATTCAATTTTCGAATAATAGTGAATTTTCAGATAATAACCAGTTTGAGAATGATAGTCATCAATTTAGGGATAATAATTTTTTTAAGAGTGACAATTATTTTACAAACAATAATGAGTTTACAAGTGATATAATACCATATGAAAATAGTAATAATTTTATAAATAATAATGAATTTGCAAATACTACTAATCATTTTTCTAATAATCAATTTACAGACAATAATAATAATAATAACAACAATAATATTTTTAAAGATAATAATCAATATTTAAATATCAAGCAATATTCTAGCAGTAATAACCAATTTACAAGCGGAAACCATTTTGTAATTAATAATAATCAATTTCAGAATAACCAATATATTAATAATCCATTTACGAATAATAATAATAAATTTACAGATAATCAAGAATTTACAAGTAATAATGAATTCACAGGTGATAAAATATTTTCGAATAGCAATCAATTTGCAAATGATAACGAATTTATCATTAATAACCAGTTTGCAAATAATAACCAATACATAAATCAGTTATGCGATGATAATGATTATAACACACATAATATGGCAGCAGAAAATAGTTTCATGAATGAAGAACTTTTTACAAACAATCAATTAAGTGAAAAAGTGATATATAATGATGAAAATGAAAAAATGAATGTAAAAATAAATAATACATTAAATAAAAGTAATGGTAAAAATGAAAAAAATGAATTAATAATATCTAAGATTACAACAAAATATATACTTACAGACATAAAAAATAAATGCTTAAATAATTGTTCTGATAATTTTTTAAAAAATTTTCCTGATATCAAAAACATTATTAATAAACATATACTTAAAGTTTCTGAAGCAAATTCAATTTATGCTATTAAACCTTATATTCATTTATTTAGTAATTTATTAGAAAAAAAAAAATTACTTCATACGTTATCACCAAATGTGCAGGAACTATATATTTATAAATTGCAAAAATTNAAAAAAAAAAAAAAAAAAAAAAAAAAAATAAAAAAAAAAAAAAAAAAAAAAAAAAAAAATAAAAAAAAAAAAAAAAAAAAAAAAAAAAAATAAAAAAAAAAAAAAAAAAAAAAAAAAAAAATAAAAAAAAAAAAAAAAAAAAAAAAAAAAAATAAAAAAAAAAAAAAAAAAAAAAAAAAAAAATAAAAAAAAAAAAAAAAAAAAAAAAAAAAAATAAAAAAAAAAAAAAAAAAAAAAAAAAAAAATAAAAAAAAAAAAAAAAAAAAAAAAAAAAAATAAAAAAAAAAAAAAAAAAAAAAAAAAAAAATAAAAAAAAAAAAAAAAAAAAAAAAAAAAAATAAAAAAAAAAAAAAAAAAAAAAAAAAAAAATAAAAAAAAAAAAAAAAAAAAAAAAAAAAAATAAAAAAAAAAAAAAAAAAAAAAAAAAAAAA